CCTTTAACACCAGGGCTCGACAATAAGGACTGCCCGATGGCCCGGGGCCAGCGTGAAAGACGTTCGGGACAGTAGACGGATTTGTCACTTGTCCGATCGGGCCACTGCAGCGTCGTCACGACTTATCATTTGCATGTGTTTTTAAGACTTATTAATTTAAAAATTCAAGCGATTAAAAAGCATTTGGGCACGAAAGACAACTACATTCAGTACTCGCGCACTGTGTTCTGTGTGAACAGCGCGCGCACAGACAGCCGGCGTGAGCCGCCTGAACGGGCAAATACAAAAGTATATCAAAATACCCGCCCTGGCAAGTAGAAAAATATTGTAGCAGGCAGAACAAGATCACTGTTCGTGATGCACGAAATATAGGAAGAAAATCCAAATATTGAATTTTATATGAATGTGTTTCTGAGGGGAAACTGGCTGTTTTTAGAAATGGCGTTGTCTTTGTCTCCTTATAATGCATTTAAATTAGTGCTGCTGTGTTTACAGCGGTAACCAAGGAAACGCTGTATTACTGTTCCATAAGCGCCGCCTGCTGTCAGAGAGTGAATCTGCGTCTCATTCAACCCACCTGCTGTTTCTGTTTCATACAGATGTTTTATGTAGCATAATTTCACATAGCTAAGATCAAAAACAATGATAACAGCAACTATTTTATTTTTTGTGGCAGGGCCGACTGGGCCAGTAGAAAAAATCCTTAGCGTTGATCCCTGAACACATTATGCTCTGATTTAATACCTTTTTAAGGCATCAATTTACAGAATGGCTAATTAAAACCCTGTAGATTTAAAACATTTTCAAAAGAGGGTATTTTAAAATGCAATAATTTCACAAAATTAGAGGGGTTTTTGATCAAATAAATGCAACCTTGGTGAGCATAGAAGACATGCAATCCTCCCAAACCCAAACTGTTGACCATTAGTGTAGCTGAATGTTAATTTCACTCAATCATCTTGAATAATGCCCTGAATGCTGAAGCAGTGGCACTTACTTTGGTCTCTTCTTGAAGGTTGGTTGCAGAAGCAGTGGGAATTCTCGAGCGGGGGACTGCGGAGGGGAGGGGTCTCCTCCAGGAAGTACTGGAGGAAGGGGCAACTCACTGAGAAGGCGTGTCCTGATTTCTTTTTCCCTTTCTTTCTCCTTCTCCCTGTCCTTTCGTGATGACCTCTGGGAAAGACTGCTCTTTTTTGGACTGAAACGGAAAAAAAAAATCCACAGTTAGTGTTCATTCTATGGGGACAACCAAGCTATTCCAAAAAATGTTGATTATATTACTTTACATTTTTTGTCACACAGCTCTAGCTATAAGTAACTGAGAACATAAGAAATGAATGTGGAATAACACCAAGCAGTAAAAGTCAGATTTTTTTCATCTAGTGAGCTGGACATTTCTTTATTATAACTATACATTTTGCCTCAACATGATGTGACCAAAAATGGGTCTCTTGGACTGCAACGTGTCATGCAACAGACACGCATATGATGTAAAACTGTATTTACAATTCATACAACCATTAGTGATTTGAACAAATCTAGACGCCAATATATAGAGACATGGGAAATTGTGGAAAAGCCGAATTCATGGTGGTGCATTTTGCATGGATAAGCACTACTCACATTTTCTGGCTATTCAGTTACACATTCCACCATGTAAGGTTTTTGGCAGGGAAATTACAGCAGTGAAAATTTACACTAAAAGAAAGTAACACCAAGTAGTTGCTATTTACACTGAGTATAGAGAACGATGCATACAATTTGCACTAGGGCTGTCAAAAAAATGTCGAATTTCGAATATTCGTCGAATTTTAAATAATCCACAAATCCACAATTTTAGGTGTGCATCAGACAGCCTTATCAGTGGTGCACGTAATGCGACGACGATGTAAGTGTCATTGCATTTTAATATTTTTGTTATTCTATCCAGTTGAACCCACTGGATGCAGCGCTGCTGCGTTGTTCATTCAAAATATTGCAAAAAAAGAACATCAATGCGGAGATTATGTTGTTTACGTCAAAACCGAAATCAAACCGTTCACACAACGCATATTTATCACATTTTCTAGAGGGACATCTATCACCGTTGCACTCGCGTCTCGCACAAGAGATCGCATGTTTAGAAAGCCATGGAAAATTAATATAAGTTCAACTTTTTAAAAACATGTCTCAAGACATTATGGCGGTTTTCCCCCATACTACTGCATCACATGTTTTTAAATGAAGAAAGTACTCTTTGTGATTGGTTTCCGGTCCTTTGTATTAAACTATACATACATGCATGATGCTGTTTTGTTTCTAATTGTTTAAGCAACTTTAATTATATAAGGTTTATAAACATTATTTTAAACATTATGCACTTTTTTCAAAGATAGTAGTGTTATTTTATTATGCTTTGAAGAAACGTGCATAATATTTTGCTCGATGCGCCCTCTTGTGGCCTCAGGAGAGAAGCCAAAAGCTTTTTTCCCCCCTAACTGAAATTATGCCTTTTAAATTCGAATATAATTCGAATATTGATAATATTCAAGTACAAAATTCGAATTTAGTTTTTCAGCCATTTTGACAGCCCTAATTTGCAGAAGCATAAACAGCAATAAATAGCTTGTAGTTAAAAAAATGCAAATGCTGTTATATGGAATTCACACAAAATGTAAACAGAAGAAATAAGCTATGCACACTAACAGTGAATAGTCTGCGTAATGCTGGGTGTAGTTAATGACAACAGCTTTTGTCAACAAAGCTATTTGCATTTAGTGCAAACAGACACCGCCAGGAAATAACAGCTTGTCCTCAGCTTACACTCTCTATAGCCCAAACATGCCCACATGCATCTAGGATAAATATGTAAATGGTCAAGCATATATGGTTTGATCATGTGACCAAGAGCCAACATGTACAAATGGAGACAATGAACAAGTATACTATAGCTTAAGTGTACTTGGGCCACTGTACAGTGTTTAAAAAACATGAATGTTGCTGCATTAGATAACCAGATATAAGAAGCAAGTGTCATTAATTAAGGAAACTCAAACACACTAAGTAAACACAGAAAAATAATATGAATGATAAAATACATTTACACCACTGAAAAATAATTAGGACCATTAGTATTCTGTGACATTAAACCTGAAAAGCATGGCAAAATAGCCCCTGATGTGTGATCAAAACAAGGTCTCGGGCGCAAAACGTACTGAATGCAAGAATGTGAATGCAAACGCATCAAGCTAAGCCAAGCTTGATTTTCTGCATCATTGCATTTCGAAATATCAGACACAAGTACTCTTTCCATTTAGGTCAACTAAGGTCAGTTTGAAGAGAATGAGCAAGTTGGTTAAGGTTGTAATTAAATGCTTTTCTTCTGTATCAGTTATTTTAGTATTATTTATAGACTATAAATTTAATATTCTGAATTTAGCTTTTTTGAATTGTAGCTTTTTTATATTTTCAATTCAGATTTTTAGTTATTTTAAATAACTTTTATGTGTTTTTCATTTTTATGAAATGTTTTTATCAATTTTATTAAAATCAATCTATTTATTTCTACTACATAGGTATAATTTATTTTTATTTCAGTTTTAGTTTTTATTGCCAGTTTAAGTTTAATACTTTAACTTATTAGTTGCCAATGCATTTCTAATTTTCGTTTAAGTTTTCTTTATTGCAGCATTATTTAAAACATTACAAATATGTTTTTAAAAGTTTTCGTATTAGTTCATAAAAATAACCCTAAATAAAAGTTAAATAAGGGTTTCACCAGACGATTGAGTCGTAATATTACAACGTCAAAACATTTTAAAAATGAAATGCATGCACTGATAAATCAATCAAAATAAGATCTATAAAATGCATTTAGAAAAAAGGTAGGGTGCCTTTTCATTTAATGGCAATTTTAAAAAGCATGTTTATAGCTAGCTATAAACTATGACATCCAGTTTAATGAAAAACGTTATCAAATCTAATCACCCTTGAGCACTCAAGTTTGTTATCAGCAGAGCAATACAAGAGCAGGCTGTGCATTTGCAATACATAGGCCAAATATTTGAGGTCTGTGTTCACATACTTGCATAAAGAACGCTTCAAGATTTCCCTATGAAGTGTCTCTGATCAAGACTCACCTGTCTCTGCAGTCTCCCAGAAGAACCGGCGGCAGGGGAAGAGGCGGAAGTGTGGAAGTCTTAATTGTGTGTGCGGGACTTTGTGTAGATTTCTGTTTGGGGCTTTTCGTGCGAGAAGAAACAGGTGCAGCAGGTGCTGAGGGTGGAGGAGCAGGCGGAGGGCTGTTTAGAGGAAGAGGTGGAGGGGATGAGAGAGGAAGAGGAGGAGGAGGAGAGTTCGCCGGGAGAGGCGGAGGAGATGAGAGAGGCAGCGGAGGTGGACTGGATAACGGGAGAGGTGGAGGAACCGCAGCGGGCTCCTCTGCCAGATCAGTGCTCGGAGGTGGCGAGGGCGGTCTTTGAGGCTCAGGGGGCGGGGCTGTGTCTAGTGGCGGTGTCTCAGTGTTTTTCGTCGGCGCATTTGCGACGTTGGATGTGTTGGGGCGGAGAGAGGGGGAGTTTTTGGCGGCTGCCGCCTGACGTTCCTTCTTTCTTCGCGTCAGCTCGGCCCCCAGGCTGGAGGTGATCGGCAAGCGTGAAGACGAAGGGGAGCGGCTGCCTGGTCGACTGCTGTGGGAGGAGCCTCCACTGGCTCCTCCGGAATATAAAGAATGTTTCTTAGTGCGAGAACGGGAAGAGGAGCGGCGAGAGGAAGAGTAGTGAGGAGAACGGCTCCGGGAACGCAGAGAAGGCCTGGGGAGGAGAAACAAAAAATAGAAATGTTTTAAAATCAGTCATGTGAACCTGTTCAAATTAACTAAATAAATGTAAACATCCTGTTTGAAGCATCAATCTAATTACAAAGGGTATCCTTAAAGTCATAATGAAACTAAAGCAGCATCAGATCTTTTCTTCCATATTGCGATGTGCATTTGAGTGTAATGGATTATCGAAAAAGAAAAAACGTAGAGCGAGACATAGTTTTATGCACTGGTTGTTGATTAGATTTTGAGATGTGGGTGGTGCACTGAAAAATGGGGGCAGATGAATGTGACCTTGCAACAGCGGGGTTTTAAGTGCCGTTTTTTCGTTCTATTACGGGAGAGCAAAACATAAGAAGTTTCACAAGACAGCCAATCCCGATGCCGATACCTTGAAAAGCAGGGTGGCCGATGGCCGATATAAAGCCAATATAATTGTATTTATTTTAATTAATATTTAAGAAATTTTAAATCATTTGAAAATGGATTAAAAAATAAATTTGTAAAATAAACATACTAATACTTTAGATGACAAAATATTTTTCACAAATAAATAAATATTTAATAAAAATATAATTAAAAAGAAAGTAAACTGTAACCAACAGAGCACTCAGTATTCTGGGAAGTTTGTGTGCATTGGGAATCTTTTTTTTTTCAAATAAAGCCAAGGTAACACTCATTTTACATACAGCACACAGTGAAAATGACATGAATATGACAGTGAGCAAATGCATAAAGCGCAGCATAATCTGAAATCACAAATTTAATGTTTAAAGCATTCAATTTGCACGGACCGAAAGTCATGCAAAGAACACGTGATCATACAGGTCACATGCACACTTTACAAGATCTCACAACTGGATTCGACTAAGTTTGCAAGGTTTGTGAAATTACATTTTCATTAGCCATTCAAAGATTTGTTAAAATGATGTAAATTAGTATTATAATGTTTGCCTTTCTGCCACTGCTGCTGCCGCTGTCAGCGCTGTCAAAATAAAAGTTCTGCCTCAAACGCATCGGCCAAACAGAAAAACTTATCGGCCGATGCCGATATTTGAAAAATGCCAAATATCGGCCTTGTCGCCAATATCGGTCGACCACTAGTGACAAATAGAAGTTTGATACATCACAGTGTGACCTTGTAACTGAATTAAAAGAACAAATTTAAGACTGCAGTGTTGTATGAAAGTGGAGTAGTTTGTATGTTTCTACATTTGGATTCATTATCTTTGGTTTATGTTTTTAAAAAGATGCTGCAGAATGTGAGATCATATCACGACCACTGCAGTGTCCGAAGTAATTCTGCATGCTCAAAGTCTAATGTAACCATGGCTTTAAGGAGTCTAAACAACTGGAGAAGACCTGCATATGTCAACAGAGAGAAGTCTGTCATTTTCACCGAAAGGTCCAGTCGTGACATTTTGATGAAACATTACACAGTATAAAATCTAAAGTTATCTAAAATATGCATTTAGAAAACAGATGGATTTTACAGAAATTATATTCCTTCAGGTTAACTGTGAACAATGTAATTCTTTGACAAAAAAAACAATAAGCACCGATCAAATTATGGCATGTAGATGTTAATGCAAGATCTCAGTTGTTGTAAATAGTGATGAGCAACAGCATGTTTTCAAAAGCAAATATGCAACTTTAAATGCCATAAGGTTGACTGTCTAATGCACTTTTCAAACAGACTTTTGTTCAAATAAAATCCATTAGGACTGAATATCATGCTATAAATATTAAACCCCTCTACTTATAACAACATAAACCTCTGCTATAAATTCACTGCTGACAGCTTATCAATACTGCAATTTAAAGTATTATCTATGAATTAGGGATGGGCATTCCAAGCAAAAATAATATTCGAAAATCACAGGGTATTATTCGATTATTATTCAAAAATCGCACCCCTCCCCCGCATGCACGCACAAACACCCATAAACTGAGAGAGAGAGGGAGAGAGACGGGATTCACACTTTCAATCTGTATGATAAACTGTTTAATTCAGAAGATAGGCTACCTTAACTCAAGCCATATAATGATTGTAATGTGCCAAAACATATTAATATAATAAACACAACCGAATGACGGCACTTATTTACATAACAGTCCGTCGATTAGCATAAATGAACTGCTCATGAGGCTAGGACATTTCCATTTCAAAAAATGGAACCCCTAAAGGGAATAGATACGGACAGCCGTTATTAGTCTCTCTCAATTTTTTTCCTTTTATTGAAAGTAATGAAAACACTACCGTGGAGTTTTTCTTTTGCTATTTGAGCAAATGGGAATGCAAAAAAAATATTTGCAGTACTCTCCCATTCACTGCTATTTAAGTTAACCCAACTATGATGACTTCCGCTGCTGAGAAACCCGGAAATGTGAAAAGTGTCCATTATTAATATGCGGTAGGGGTGTGACGAGATCTCGATGTGATCTCGCGAGATCTGACTTATCTCGCGAGAACGTGACGATATCCTGGCGCAGACTGGCTCGTTCACAAGTTGTGGTATGCAAGATATTTTATGTTCACATCAGGCAAGTGGCCGCATGATAAGCAGGAAAATTACGGCGTAGTCTTTATCCAGTCATAAAAACAGAATTCACAGTTTAACGCGGAATGTCACGGAATTTGTAGAATTTTGAATGAATTAATCAAAAGTAGGTTATTACACTTAAATCAAATCACGATATGGACTAGTATCTGTAAATATTAAGCCGCAAAAGTCGATTTAAATATGAATCCTGCATGTTCTGCCTGTCTCTGTTAATGAATGGCGCAGACGCGCGGTTTCATCGTGTATTCGCTCTTTAGCAGCAGTTTTTATGGCAATATTTAATTGACACCCTGGTCATTCTTTGTGTACCCAAAATGGTCCCACACTATCGTCTTCAGGCATTTCTCTGGTGGAAATAAAGGATCGCTTTTTTAAGTTACTAAACACTTTTATAATCTGGACACTGAGGTCCCATTTAAAGCGGATTAGTTAATTGCTTTTGCAGTTTTGGCAAGCAAATGCTAGACCTTATTTAAAAAATACATTTAGCAGATGCATGAAATCTAGCCTGCAAATTCACCCTCTCTTATTAAATAAGCATCACTGGGCAGTGTCATGGAGTAACTATTACATGTAACTAAATTACGTAATTGATTTACAAAATAAATGTAACTTTAATCAGTTACAGTTACTAAGAAAAAATATGTAATTCAATTACAGTTACTTATGAAAATGTTAACGATTAAAAAGTGGGTTAACGTCTGAATATTTTTCACACACCCATATAAAAAGATTTAATTGATTTCTTTCATAAATTGCATTGACTGCTCTAAAATATGAGACACCAATGTTTCAGGAGTCTAAGACACAGAATAGGACACATGCTTATTAGATAACCGATTCATTTCCTATTTGGGTTTATGTATGTGCTTTATTTTTCAGGTTAACTGTCTTTCCAGAGCATTGTTTAGATACCAGTGTTTCCTGTCACAGATATGCAAAGATTTGATTTCAAAAACAGTATCATAGCTATTAAACGGTTTCTTGTTATGGCTTTAAATCTGTATTCAACCTCAGAATGATCTCAAAGTAAAAAAGAGGTGCTAACATCTATTTTTGTGGCGGCTGTGCATTAAAATTAAATTATTATAATCTTAATTCAAGAGCTGAAGGATTTCGAAAGTGACAGAAATCAGTGTTGAGTAATACTGTAAGGTTAACCCTGCCTGGTTTACATGTTTGAAAATGATTAATAGTTGAAAACATTAGTAATCAAATGTAATCAATTACATCAATAAAGTAATTGAAATAGTTACACTACTTATTACATTTTAGATAACTTGTAATCCGTAACCTATTACATTTCCAAAGTAACCTCCCCAACACTGTCACTGGGTTTGACATTTCCAATGCAATATAACCTTCCTACCTGTCCAAAAACCTCTGGAGTGACTAAATGATGCACATGGACTGTCTGATCTGTGTGTGTTTGTGTGCTTTCTCACCTGGACACTGGACTGGTGCTGGATGAGCGTCGGTTGCCGTAAGGACTGCCAGGTGAGTGTTTTCTGCTCACATACGGGCTTCCATCCTTATCGGGGCTTGAGGACCTCCTCCTCCGATAAGGGCTCTCGGACCTCTGTCTGCTCCGCCTGGGAGGCTCCCTGTACGGACTGGGGCTCGCAGCCCTACGCTTGGAGGAGTAGCTGTTCTCGAGTTCCGCAGCGGAAGGACTGTCCGCTGCGCTTCTCTTGGACTGCCCCTTCCCTTTAGGGCTCGACTTGTGGCTCTTGGCGGCCTTCAGATGGCTCCGGTCCTCCTCATGCTCCTCGCTCGTCCGCTTGTCTTTGCGCGATTTTGACGAGCGGCCACTTTCCTTACTGATGGAGGAGGAGGCGGAGGAGGCGCTGCTGCTCAGACTGACAGCGGACTGCACCGCACCTGATGAGAGAGAGTCGCCGGGCCTTTTGCTACCTGACTCACCTGAGCGTCTGGATGTGGATGCAAGGCACGCAGCTGAGCTAGACTTCTCCTTCGCTTTCTTGCGGGTCTCTTTGCTCGCTCTGTCCCGGTCTTTACTGCCCTTCTTGCTGCAGCCGCCACCCTCTGCCCTCTCCGCAGACTCCCTGACCCGATGCGGGTCTTTGGACTTCTTCCGGGAGCGCTTGTGTTTATGAGGCCTGTTCTCTTTCGCAACCCCCGCTTCACCGTAGTCCGACCGCTCTAAGCGTTCTGCGTCCCTGCCCTCCGCCGGTTTCCCGGTGGCGGGGGAGTCCAGGAACGTGTCCGAGTCGGAGCTGATGTCGTCGTACTCCACCAGAGGCTTGATGGCGCCCACTGCTGGAGGCGCAGCGGTAGCGCACGCGGAGCCGGTTTCGGCCTCGTGTTTGGACTTGTTTCGTTTGTACTTGCAAGAAGTGGACGAGCTCGCCGTCTTGGTGGGATGCCTACCGGAGCCCGCGTGCAAAGGCTGGCCTTCCCCGCCGGCCGCCTGCTGCTGCTGCTGATGGTAGAGCGATTCAGCCTTCCTCTTGGTCCCATGCAGGCGGTCTGATCCAGGCATACCTCTGTCCTCCGGAGACGCGGACCTAAGTGGTCAAGACAGCACATGAACAGTACAAATCGCTGTGTTGGGTAAAAGTGTGAAATCTTGCCAGACGGAAGAGTCGGAGTGAAGCAAAACAAAGATGCGCACGCTATTTGACGCGCAGAGGTTATCCACAAGTCATCCCCGGTCCCGTGTCTTCTCCGAATCGCGTCGAAATAGATCCAAGAGTATAAAGCCAAAAACAAAAATAAAGATTTTTTTAACGATATTGTCCTTCACGATGGCATCACTGGTCGTTTCCAGGGTGCTTCAAGCAGCGCATTGCGCTCGCGCTTCTCGGCTAGCTTTAGCTAAGCTAGCGTTCCTCGAAAAGACAAAAAGAAAGAAGAAAATACAGGCTGTCCTTGTTTTAGATTGTTTATCCTTGTTCGATATCAAAGCCTAAACAGACGTTTAGCTCTCCTTGCACACGGTTTCTGAGCTTTGAAACAGTAAAGCTCGCTGTGTAGGGATATTGTCCCACATAACTGAAAATAAAACTTGACCCGCTTGCTTCTTGTTCACATATTCGCTTTAATGTTCAGTGTAAACTCTCTGTAGTTTCATATTCATCGGAAATGATCACATATTTATGTGTTAAAATTGATTCCAGTTCACTTGAGCGGCTCTGGGAAGCAACCAGAACTAGAAATTGGGCGATGTTCGTGGATATAAAACCCTCCACGGCCCTGAATTCAGAGAGAATTCACTTCATCCATTACAGCCAAAATTATGCGCAGCCTCTTCTGCGCATGCGCGGTTATAGCCCGTCCCACGGAAAGGGAAATACCACAGCCTGCGCCGCTTCGCTCGGTTTCCTCCTGGATAACGGATTTTCACAGAAATACTTTAATATTTTGTATGAAAGTAGTAAACAAAACTGTAAACAAATAAAGTTATTAAATCGCTTCTTGCTCGTTGCTTCTTTAGAACATGATCGCTGTCAATCTGCAAGGTAACTAGGCGACAGCCAATCAAAAGCAAGCAACTGTATCCCGCCTTCAGTCGCGCTTCACTTTTTAATTTCTTTAATTTCGCATTTTAATTCCTATGGTTTAAATGTGCATTATACAATTTTATTCGATTTTTTTATGTAATGATCATTTAATAATTTTAATAATATATGACAAAACACAAATTAATGACCGACTTTATTATTTTATTGTAGCAGATGTAAAGTTACAGACTCTTCTTTAGCGTGTTAAACGTTAGTTACATAATTTCTGAGCAAACCTGTGATATCAACCTATAAGCAAGAAGCATTTAAGTGTTTATGCCAATTTTACACTCGTCACGTATGAATACAGAGAATGCGTCCTTTAAATTACAACAACATAATGCATTTCCATGAATAGTATAACAACAATGGACCGAAAAACTAAAGTTCTACATTAATAAATTAATTATGCAAAAATTATAACGTTAGTTGTCTTAGTCTTGTGCAATAACAACATTTTATACAGTATAATTTCACCTTCGTAAGCATTCGTCAGCGGTGAATGTATGCCGGATTTGTAGTTGATTAATTTGATGTAGATATCCTTGTATTTTCCAAAGAGCTCGGTATTTGGTATTTTCACACGTTTACGTCGCGCGTAGATGACGTCAGAATGTGTTCCCAGTCTCTAGCGCAGCTAGGTTTTTACAGCTGGGGCAAGTTCAAGCTCAAACCGGTGTGCAACGTTTTGCTACGGTTTCCGGTTTGAACGACATGTTTCCTGGAAACGGTGTGCAATGGGGTTTGAGATACGTTTTCTCTTGTTTGGTGGGTGTGTCAAAAATGTCAGCCCAATCAGCAGCAACATGTATATAAACCACGCGGTATTAAAGAGACAGCT